CGGGAGCAGTCCCCGGCCCCGCCCGCCGCCGGCTCCTGCTTCACCGCCGGCGTCGACGGAGGCGTGAGGAAGACCCCGACCTCCGGTAGAGACATGTGCTTACTGCTGCTGCTGAGCTTCTCCGTCTCCATACCTGAGGAAGGAACACAAACCATTCTTACACACGTGTCGACTCAGAAACTTATGACTTGTCTACTGGAGCATGTCCTACGTACTGTGGTATCACACTGGAAAACTTCTTCTTTCAAGTTATATTTCTCAATAACATAAACTTCTGCTTTTAGTTCCGAAACTCGTAAAGAAATTAAACCCCGAACGGGACCACTTATTCCTAACGAAAAGTAAAATACGTTGCGATAAACGTTCTGCATAAGCTTAACTGTAATACCCTTGATTCTTTTAACTACCATACAATTGTACAATACAATGCAAAGCCTTTATTTCATGTATGTGCGTGCGAGCAGAAATACGTACATATCCAACATGATCTAAAAGCATCAAGTAAATACATGCAATTTTGCTCGACGTTAGAAAATCACATATATAAAACACGGTTTAGAAAAAAATCCCGATTTATTCTGAAACATTCCTCGGCTTGTCCGAGCGAGGAAGACTTTTGTGTGGAATATTTCCTCAGGCGATTTACTTGTCTTCAAGCCCCCCGTGTTTCCAAAACCAAGACGGGATCCAAAGAAGCTCAGAGGTGGTCTAAGGCGACCATCGGAAGTTATTATCCTTCATCAAGCATAACAGACACCGAGTTCAACACGAAAAGTACACTCTGCTTCCTTGTATCTTTCTTTTTGGACGGTTTTTAGTATGAAACGAACCAAACGCCGACTTTTCACAAACTGGGTCACGTTCGAATACGGAGCTTCACAATTTGTCCTGATTTGCAAAGGTGTTAGAACGTGGAACTAGTCGCCACTCGGACGCTTGAAGTCTAGCGTAGAAATATCCAAACAAACAACGGAGAAAGATTATCCAAAAGCATTGAAACGTACGACTAGTCAGTGATGTGCCGCAGCAAGAAAGGTGACTGCGATGTAAGTAAAAATTTCATGTGTTGGGTTATTCAATGTGTGTATTTTGCAACGTTTCTGGCCTCAGAAATTCAGACGCAATATGTCAGTAAAATTGTTTTGCGACGTACAAGCAGTCTTCTTTGTATTAAGCGGACAATAATTGAACGGAGGCTTTCCTTTCTTTCTTACTACTTAATAACTACTGATATATATTTGAAGTTCCTCCAACCTGCCACATTAAGACATTGTGTACAGTAGGATAATTGTTACAGTTCGCCACATTTCAACACGTGTCAGTCCGGCCGCGTATGTTTCTGATGAATGTTTACCGCTCAAAGAGTTAGAATACTTTCATCGCCACGCAATGATTTTGTTGTGGTCAGAAACTGGGCGACAACATTGCGTTCTATAGCTGATATATCCCGCCTCGTAGCCTGTAGTATATAACTCATGGAAATTCACAAACTGAACGAGAATATCTCTGGCAGTATTGTATTAAGAATTTCGCAGTACAATAGCAAGTTATACTTTCGTTACGTTTCACATAACATGTGTCCGTACATATCCTTCACCGGTGTGGAAAAAATATAAGAAACACCAGATTAATATAAAAGGGAAGGGGCTACAAAACCATGCAAAAAAAAGAGGAAGAAAGAAAACACAAAAGGAGTGGTAAAAATCAGCTTCTGTTAAGTTGAATATGAAATGTTCTTACCTGGAGAATCCGGTAGACTGTGTGAATATCAGAAGTGGCGGGTAGAACTAAAAGTTAGTCCCTTGTAGGACCAACTGTTCGGGACCGGTTGTCGGCGGTGTGTCGCGTCGGTCCTCTCAGGTGTTCCACCAGACGTACGCACAGGTACAGGTGTGTGCAGGTGTGTGCAGACGTCCAGGTATCAAAGTCGATATTTGTAGTGACGTGTCGTGCGTCAATCGAACGGAGCGGATCTCAAAGCACCTGGATGACTGCACACCGCCTGCGCATGCGCGTCGCGACGTTTTGGCGGGAAACTGCACCATGAAAGTCTTGTGCGACTGAAGAGGACGAACTCCTGTGTAAAAATCACCTCAAGGAAACATGGGTGGTTACTCTACTTATTACGATGGGAAAAGGTCTGTCACGTAACGTCTAGTGACTGCTGACTTGGAATCTAAATGTTCTGTGTTTGAATCCCAGGCAGACCCTAGCCTCCGTATCAGGCTTGTAGAACTGGGGGCTTGGTGGTCTTCGGCTGTTTTCTGATTAACCCAGTTCTAAAAACGGGGGTAAGTCAACCAGGCCGGCTATGTTGTCTATATGCAATCAGAAAATAGCACATAAAAGCTCCCAAAGACCATGAAGACCCCTAAAACCCCCAGTTTTTGGCATGCTATTGGAGGCTAGGCAGACCCCAAAATGAGTACAATATACCTAGCTTAGGTTAGGGACGTGGAGGTCAATACTTTCAGCAATCAGGTTATAGCTCAATAGTTTCAGCAGAGCCACTCCTCGAGCTCTTTAAAGATCCCACCACATTAATCGAAAAGTGTAGGGGTCTTTCCTGGTATGAGTGGATCAAACCTCGCAGTCCGGTCTAACTCTACTTGTGTCTACTGTGCAAAACCGGTGAGTTATGCCTAAAGGCGGTTTACCTCCCATGCGAAACGAACATAACGTTTTGCTGCTGGTACTGTAGTTATACAAGATACCTTAACTTGTACAATACGAGTAGCATTTAGGCTGATTGATTGATTAATCGGTCGATTGATAGATCGATTGATGAAACTAGAGCTCAAACTTCCTTGAACTTGACTAAACGTCTAAGACGTCTAAGACGGTCAAGGACGATGTCGTCACGGACTGGTTATCAGTACGCGGCAAGGAAACAAGCAATCCTAGCCTCTGTATGGGACAAATATTTGAAGTTTGAAGCGAAACTTTTCGTTGCCCGACGTCACATAGACTCACATCCTACTCAACTGTCTGTTTTGAAAAAAAAAAGGTTTAAAAAGCTTATAACACGAACCAAGAGTCGTTGCTGTAACTTTTATTAGAGTGCATTTAACTCTGTTCTTCCGATTGGCTCTTTTGGTTATGCTTATCTGTGATGTGAATATGTTAGCACTTAGGGTGTTACTTGTTGGGAACTTGCACTAGGTATCGCATCTAGAAATCGTGCCTATCTATAGTTCTATGTCTGAATGGGTTAAGGTTAAGATCAGGCACGGTTCTGGATCGTCTCCACGTATCCAAGAGCGTAGATGTGCCCCAGGTACGGTTCTGGACACTTGTGGAATATGCCGGAGCACAGTTCTGGATAAAGCACGGTTCTAGATACAACACTAGGTATCCTTCAGGAAGACTCCCATTGAAGACACCTGTGCCCAGGTGTGCTAAGCCTCACCTGTGATGTGACGGTCCCGAGGTTTGTGTGCATCTGACCGTCGCATCTCGGGAATGTTTCCCCCCGGCCGGCCGGAGTTAGCCGCGCGCACCGGTCAGCCCTTCGGTCGCCCGCGGGCACGGAGGGACCTGCCGCCGCCATCGCGATAAAGAACCGCCCGCTCAATCTTACTTAACCCGGTAACGGTGACAGATGCAAACTGCTGAACCAATCTCCAATCTGCAATCTCCAAGCAGAGGTTTGGGCGTCTTAACCCGCTAAAGGTGACGGATGCAATCTGCGGATCTCCAATTTTTGGGCGTCGACTAACCCTAACTCTATCCCTAAACCCGGGACAGTGACAGGTTCAATCCAGTGCTGCTCTCCTAGAACAGGTTTAAGCATCGACTACCCCTAACCCTAAACCTAACCCTAACCCTAAACCTAAGTAACCCTAACCCTTAACCTACTGTGACAGATGCAATCTGCTGCTCTCTCTCCAAGCAGACGTTTAGGGTTCAACAAACCCTAACCCTTAGCCCGCTAACAGCGACAGATTCAATCTCTCAAAATCGACTAACCCTAACCCTTAACCACAATCTTCAGATCTCCAAGCAGAGGTTTGGGCGTCGTCTAGCCCTAACCCTAATCCGTTCAGGATACTATGCCTAGTGCAAGTTCCCAACAAGTAATACCCTTAGTGGTAGGATATTCAATGAGATGCAATCCTAAACCATAACACTTAACCCGCTAACTGTGACAGATGAAATCTGCTGCTCTCTCTCCAAGTAGAGGTGTAGGCGTCGACTATCCCTATCCCTATCCCTATCCCTATCCCTAGCCCTAGCCCTAGCCCCTAGCCCTAGCCCTAGCCCTAGCCCTAGCCCTAGCCCTAGCCCTAGCCCTAGCCCTAGCCCTAACCCTTAACCCGCTAACGGGGACAGATGCAATCTGCTCATCTCCAAGCAGAGGTTTGGGCGTCGACTAGCCCTAACGCTAATCCGTCCAGGATGCTAGGCCTAGTCCAAGTTCCCAACAGGCAATACCCTCAGTGGTAACGTATTCAATGAGATGCAATCTACTGCTCTTCAAAACTTAATTTTGACGTGTTTTAACCGTTTTGATCAGGCTTTCATTTTGTACTGGTGTCTTTTTTTCCGCCAGGCGAATGGTTACTACCATGCCTATATGATATACTGTCTTCCAGCCACAAAAGGTCTGCTCGGAGATCACAATCTCACACTAACAGTGACAGAAGCAATCTGCTACTCGCTAAGCAGAGGTTTATGTTTGGATGTGTTTTAAGTGATTTTTATCGGGCTTTCTTTTTTTACTGGTATTTTTTCCACCAGCCAAATGACTGCTGCCTTGCCAATATGGAACTGCCTTGCCTATATCATTACTGTCTTGCCTATTGTTGGGTCAGTCTATTTAAGAAGACCAGAGTGACTGGTCAATAGCTCTAGGTGATAACAACCATTTGTGTTGGAACAAAAGTTTTAACTCTAAGCATAACTGATATACATGTCTTGCAGCCGCCAGAAGATCTGCTTGGAGATAAGAATCTTAACGCTTAACGCGTCCAACATGTATAGACAAGGCCGCGCACACAAAAGTTAACCTTCGCGAACAATGCACGCCGGGCGCTGCTCCTGTTGTTTCTGTTGTGGTTGTGTTGTCGCTATTAGCCAGACGTGCTGCCCGTGGATTATGAGACACCTGAGCGTGTAAGGTAACGCTACAGGAATGACAGACGGACAGCCTTAACATATCTCATCTATTTATCTATTGAGATTTACCACATTTGTAGAAGGGCTGACATAACAGGTGATAACCCTGGGACAACACTGCAGGGTTCGATCCACACACACTGGGAAAGACTCCTGCTCCTTTAGATAAGTGTGGTGGGTTCTTTAACATGCTGAAGGTGTGGCTCTCCTCAAACACGAGACTCATGGTACTATCCAAGAAGACGTCTCTAACTGAAGCTAGGTATTCATTTTCACCTGAGTTGAGTGAGGAAGTAGGTGGGATTTACCACATTTGTGGAACGGCTGACATAACAGGTGACTGTCACCTTTTCAAGGCGCCAAATCTTGAGACCAGATTGTAAGGTTTGAACCACCTCACATCGGGGAGGACCCCTACTCTTTTCGATAAGTGTGTTGGGATATCTTTATTGTACGCAAACTGTGGCTACTCAAACCCTGGACCTCCAGCTTTACGTCATATCCGAAAGGACGTCCCTAACCGAAGCTTGGTACTCATTTTAGCTTGCCAGGTATTCGAACCCATAACCCATTTATAAGACCACGCTGTCACCATGCACGTGTGACAACGTGGTCTTATAAATGTGTATAAATGTGTATAGATTTGTTAGGACTTAAAATGATGTAAACTGTATCAGTGCATGATATACATTTTGTCTGACCTGAAGTTACCTCTTCCCTCGTGACCTCAATGAAAAGCGGCCTGCAGGCCAGTTTGAAAAATTCTCATGAATAAAGAACGGCTAAAACAAACCTTAAGAGACACTTGAGTAAGGTTTGATAGGAATGATAAACGGCCAGCCTTAACATATCTTTACCGATCGCTGTGCTGTGCTGAGACGACAGACGCGTTACCAGACATGTTAAGAGCGTGTTGCGTGTTTATCTCTCGTCATGGGGTGATCGGCACAACCGCCGGTCATAGAGCGCTTTAAAGGCATACAAGGCGATTTCAGGGCAGCAAAACTATAAAATATCTAACCTCCAAGCAGATCCTAGGGTGGCATAAGACAGTATCAAATTAGCCAGGCAGTGTCCATTGACCAGAGAGGGTCCAATACGTACCCTCTCTGGCCAATGGACACTGCCTGGCCAATTTGATACTGTCTTATACCACCCTAGGATCTGCTTGGAGATTATGAAATATCCTGGATGAGCAAATCTGTCTATAATATTGACATTTACTGCCATTTCTTGTCACATTTTCGTAATCGTTTCATTTCATGCTTGAAGCATTTGAGATAGCCCCAAAACACAAGATATGTGAGGAGTCCCTTTATTTTCTGGTACCACCGATAAATAGCTAGAAGCAGCCTAAGATGCAGAACATACAACCGTTTTCCGTCAGCGACATCGCATTTTTGCCTCCACGATATTAGTATGCTAGTGTTAGCGTAGTCCTTAAAAAGTGGCAAAATCGTCTTCATAAACGTCCAACGTACAAACAGTACGTATCTGGTACGGAAATGGAAAAGGGAACATCATAGGCTGTGACAAACGGACAAACCTGCTGAGGAAGGATAACTGCTGACAATATGATTTTGATTTTTGTGTCGTATCTGTATCAGTATAGCCGTAACACACCAGCTTCGCTGGCACGCGGCGCGGCGGCAGCTGGCTATAGTACATCTAACGACTTGTTACACTCAATCTTTGCACATTCAATTGCAGGAGTTGTATCAGGCTCGTTGTATAAAGTTTTCTAGTGATGTTGCCCCAACTGTACATGCGCTTGGTGGCAACGAGTTCCACTCTACGATTGTTCTTGGAAAATAAGAGTTTTTTAATGTCTCAATGCATTCTTGGTGTCATGACATATACTCGTAAAATCTCACCTTCGGTGTTACCTTAAGTGTATGCCTATTATTTGTAAGCGTTTTCGTTTGATTTCACTGCATAGCCTTCTCACAGTAAAGAGGACGGCCGGGCATCTCTGTTGTTTTCCCAAAAGAAGAATTGACTCTCTAGCCTTAGAGGAGCAAAACTCTTCTTACATATTGCTTTGCCTTCCACGGAAGGTTTTTGAAACGGCACAAGCCGGCCGCAAACATAGGCCCATTGTCTTGCCCATTGGTTGCACCACAAACACAGGTTCAACTGCCTCGGCGGCGGCGCTTTGATCAGCGGCGGGAGGTGACGAGCTTGTGTACAAATACACAGGTCATATTCCAGCTCAGCGGCATATATATTTTTGCATTTTATTTCTTTTGTTCTCGTATTTTGGCGCCCTCCGCTCAAAGTGCGCGCCCATGCACGGCGTGCATCTCGGTGTTTTTATGTAGCAGCTCCGCGGGAAGTCCCGAAGCGTGTCGCGATCCCAGAGTTAACACGCCAGATATCTTATCACGCAGACCATAAGTCACGGCGATAGACACCTTAAGGAGCTACCGTTTCCTTAAGTAGTAAATTTGCTCAAGGCGTTAGGGAACAAATTGGAAGTGGAAACAATAACTTCACTTATTCAACAAGGCCACTGGGCTGACCCTTCGCAGATTTGTCTATAGTATTAATGATACTTGCTGTTCTTTTTTTCTTTCCATATAAAACGATAAGATAAAATTTTTTGTGCCTTCCAAAAGCAATGTTAACTTTGTCAGCTTTACTGTTTAGGCTGTTTGGTGTAGGTTGGCAGAAGGTGTACGCTAATCCTTTGAACAGGCAACCCTGAGATATAAATAGATAAACAGACCATCTTGTCAGCGTGGATAGTCCGACAGATCGTCTTAGCGACCTTCCAACGTCTAAGAACAATCTTAAGAAGTTAAGACTGATAAGAAATGACACGACACAAGTTTGACGATTTGACTACCGTACTGCCATCTCGGTCTGATTTTTCGCTGGCTCTTTATTAAATCTGGACTTGAAAGTTTGTTTGTGTAATAACTCGGGTGTTGTTAATATGTCCGCGGCTTGTGTGTGCCCGTGGGGCGCCTTTGTCATTGAATTTTACGTAAATATTCCGGCGGTTTCCGACGCTTCTGTCCACACCTTAGTGTGTTACCCACAACAGCGGGCCGCGTCACGGGGAGGGGACGGAGGCGTTACTACGTTTTTTTTTATTCCAACAATTCATGACAACACATGATGACGGCACACTCAAGTTTTTTTAAACTTATCTTATGCCGCCACCAACGCAGAGGACAAATACAGGATAGACAATACTCATTTTCACCTGAGTTGAGTGAGGAAAGTCGTGTAAAGACATAAGATCGGTGGTATGTCAGGACTCGAACCCGGGAACTCTTGGTTCTGAGTCGAGCACTCTGCAGTTACGCCACACGACCCCACTATTACTACA